GATTTTAGGAAGCTCCCAACGAAAACTTAAGCCGAGAAACAAAGAATTTAATTGTAGAAAAAGATAAAGACATTCCAAAGAAGGAAAATCGACCTCTAACGCATTTTAAAGACTTTGCTCACTCTCAACACACAAAAAAGCAACAAGCAAACATCATATCATCCAAACGTCCGTCAAAATTAGAAAACTTTGAAAATTCACATTTTTCCTATAACTAAATTTGCGCTAGCTCAAACTAAACTTGGTAAACTTTATCCAAATATTAAAATAATTCATTTTATTTAGTATTTTTTATGCACAACCTAAAATTAGAAATTTTGGGGTGTGACAGTAAATTACTATTTCTGCTAGTTGCTGCCATTGTAGCATACAACATAGGAATCTTGAGTAATAGCAGTAAACTAGCTGCTGGTAGAAATCTCTAGTTTTTCAACTTTTTTTGTTTCAAGTTGATACACCTGTACAACAAAAGTCTAATTTGCCAGCTTTAAGTTGATGCACCTATGCATCTCTTCTGATGAGAGAGGAAAACATAACCCCAAAACAAAGAAGGGAATATGACAACGAATTATATTACTACAAAATAATCGAAGGAAAATGTGGCTAAGAGACTATCAACCAAAAGGAATCAACCAGTTGGCAATGCACATGTGTTTTTTTTTGTAACTCCACTACCTATGAATGTTTCGGTATCAGATTCCAAAGTGTATATGGTTTTCGTATATTCTGTCAGTGAGAGTGTTTTTTGTATATACCTAATTGACTTCTAGGCTTGATCATATAGCCTTTTCATGGGAAATTTTACTTTTGAATGATTCTGCAAATTTATTTGCAAACTTGTTAGTCTTTAGTTTAAGATTTCAAATTGCTTACTTTGTCGACTCCATGCTATTGTTGCCAAAATAATACAATTTTAGTTTGTCTGATGCGTATACTAATGTTAATGATTCTTTCTAGGAGCAAGATGGAGTTTGAGTGGAGCGCACGATTGATGGATGATCAACATCAAGGCAACCTTTGATGTAGTGCTACATATATAGCTCATTACCTTTTGATATGTTCAAACTAGCTACTGTGTGTCGGATACCTTATGTGTTTTAATTGTGCGCGTGTTATTGACTAAGTTTGACATTGCATGTTTCATTAATGATTTGTACGGACAAAGCATATTTTGGTTTAATGGATGTCTAAATGCTTTATCCATCATATTGTTCGACGTGCAATTATTGTTTGAAGCTACCAAACAAAGCGTTGCAATATAGACTATTGGCATAATAATTTGACATTGCAATATATGCTATAGTAACAAACAAACTATGTAGTAAAAACATTATGCGTGGCAATAGTCTCCAAACTATGGCAACACAGTAATAAGCGTGGCAATAGATGGTTTCTCCTATAGCAACCAAAATATTTAGTGTGGCAATAGAGTGGCCACCTCTAGCAACCAAACATTTGTCGTGGCAACAGAGGGTTCAACCTATAGCAACCACAATGTTTAGTGTGGCAATAGAGAGCCCATCTCTAGCAACCAAGTATTTATCGTGGCAATAGAGAATTCCACCTATAGCAACCATAGACAAGTGTGTTAATAGAGAGGCCACCTGTAGCAACCAAATATTTGTGTGGCAATACAGGGTTCCACCTATAGCAACCATAGAGATATTGTGGCAATAGAGGGTCCATCTATTACAATGTTATTTATGCGTGGCAATAAGGTCTATTGCAACACCCATTGTTGTTGCTAGTGCACCTATTGCTACTCTTTGGGTATGTGGCAACAGGTATGTCTGGCAACACTAGGTGTGTTGCAATAGTTACTATTGAACACCCACGGTGGTTACTTATACTATGGCTTGCAACACTACATGGTGTTGCAACAACACTCCATTGTGTTGCAATAGGGGAAAACCTATTGCAACACCAAAATGAACCATGGTGCAAACTTTAGACCATAGTTACTATGGCAACGCCTCCCAACTAAATTTTTGTGTTGTAATTTTGTCTATTGCAACCATTTTTTGCATATTGCAATACTTTTAGGCCGTTGCATCAGGGGTGAAACCTTGTAGTGGTCCTAGCTGCAAGGAATCTAAGTTTCGACTTCCGAGCGGTTCAGGAAAACAACGCCTCGATTGCATGGCTGCTACGCCAACCAAGTCAGTCAGGTCTAAATCAAGGGCTGGAACCCTCCAGAGAGATCTAACCGATCAGTGGGGAACTGGTATAACTCTCGACCAGGGGCCAAGATTTGAGGCCCGAACTAGAGATGTAGCGCAGAGGTTGCGATGCTCGAAACACGACCAATGTTAACCGAACCCAACGCCAGGTCTCAATCAAGCCGCAAGTCATGCATTTTTTCGTGCGAAAATCATGCGCTTCACGGCCGCTGGGGTTCAAACCCAAGTCCACACGGTCGCATGTTCCATCCTCTAACCACTCCACCCAACTCTCACTTGTGTCTATCTCAGATATTCTTTCTACTTATATTATACTCAACCAAACTTGAAATGAGTGTCTAAGACTCTAAACTAATTCAAATGAAAAAGTTGTCAACTATAAATTTGCATAACTTTTTGAGATCTACAACTCACATTTTTGTTGTTTCTCCATCCGAGGCCATTTGAAAATTTTGAATTTCAAATATTGCAAATTTAGACGTAATTATTCTCAACTAGATGATTTCAAATGAAAAAGTTGTCAACTACAAAGTAACATAATTTTTTAAGATCTACAACTTTCTTTTTTGTTATTTCTCCATTTAAGGTCATTTCAAAAATTTAAATTTCAAATGTTAGAAATTTAAACATAGTTTTCCTTAGCAAGATAATTTTAAATGAAAAAGTTGTCAACTACAAAGTTCTATAAATTTTTGGATCTACAACTTTTGTTTTGGATGTTTCTCCATCTGAGGTTAGTTGAAAATTTTAAATTTCAAATTTTAGAAATTCAAACGTAGTTTTCTTTGACAAAATGATTTCAAATGAAAAAGTTGTCAACTACAAAGTTCTATAACTTTTTGAGATCTACAACTTTAATTTTGGTCATCTTTTCATGTAACTTTATTTGAACAATTCGTAGTTTAAATTTCAAAAAATGACTACTTCAAACAACATTTCGAAACAGTAAATGACTTGAGCTGGAAAAGTTATGAAAATAAAAGTTGTAGAACTTATCAAGATCTACAACTTTTATTTTGGTCAGTTGTTCATCCGATAAAGTGGTAGTATACATTGTCCATAAATTTACATGTCGCTCTTATAGTTTATGAAACTATGTGAGAGATATGTAAATTTATAAACAATGTTTATTACCACTTTATCAGATGAACAAATGACTAAAACAAAAGTTATAGATTTTGATAAGTTCTACAATTTTATGTTCATGACTTTTTTTATTTGAAACCACTTAATGTTTCAAAATGTTGTTTGAAGTTGCTATTTTTTTGAAATTCAAGTCACATGAAAAGATAACAAAAATAATAGCTATAAGAACACAATAAATTGATAAAGCATGATTTTAAAAAATTTTAGGAAACAAATCATCAAATTTGAAGTTAATATGAGGGAGAAAGATTAGCTACAAGTTTTAGCCATAGATTAAAAAAAGAAATCAGACTTTTTCAACAATGCAAAAATTGAATTTCCAATAGCATTTTAAAATAGTAAATGATTTCAAATGAAAAAATTATAAACAACAAAGTTCTATAACTTTTTGAGATCTACAACTTTTATTTTGATCATTTCTCCACCAAGATTATTTGAAAATAAATTCTAATTTTAATAATTAATTTTTAATATTTATCATCTATTTATAGGGGTAATTTTATATCTAGCCGTCATCCTTACAAATTGGATTTGTCGGGATGGCGGCCGGATATAAAGTCGTCCCTACAAATAGGGCCATTTGTTCGAGCGGCTAATAACACCAGCATCCCCATGATTTGTAGGGGTGGCTCGTTTGTGAGCCATTTGTAGGGGTGTCTCAATATAGAGCCGACCCTTAAAAAAAAAGGAGACGATCGCTATAAATTCTTTTTTAGTAGTGATACCTCAGGTGCAAATGTTGGTATATAGGTTGATGATCTGTTCGTTTGAGATAGATCAAATGAGTTCCAACTGGACCTTTCGAAATTCCGAGAAGTGGTGAGCGCGAATCTGTACAGTTCCACTTTCTACACCAAATAATTACACGAAGACAAATGGTGCTACGGACTTAAAAACAGTAAAAAGCTTTTAATTTGGTTTGATAATACTCCATCGGCCCACAAAAGAATGCAATTCTTGCGTTTTGAGGAGTAAAACAGTTTAAAATTTGACTAAGTTTATATAAAAAAAGTACTAACATTCATGATACAAAATAAATATCATTAGATTAGTTATAGAATATAATTTTATACTGTACTATATTTGTTTAGAGACATAAAAGTTAATATTATTTTCTATAAACTTGATCAAAGTTGAGATAGTTTGACTTACACGGATCTCACAATTGCATTTTTCTTATGGACGGAGGAAGTATCCCTCACAAGTCACAATTGGGTTGCAAGCTTCGTCAACGCGGAAAACAAGGTAATCCATTTCATGACTTGAGACAATAGGGCCGCGTTTAGTTGCGCCCGGAATTGGCGCCGCCGGATTTCCAGCGACACTGTAGCATACTGTAGCATTTCGTTTGTATTTGATAATAATTGTCCAATCGTTGACTAATTAGGCTCAAAACGTTCGTCTCGCAAAGTACAACCAAACTGTACAATTAGTTTTTGATTTCGTCAACATTTAGTACTCCATACATATACCGCAAATTTGATGTGACGGAAAATCTTCTTTTTACATAGTGCCAAATTTTGGATTTCGATAGAACTGAACATGGCCTAGATTGTGAACACACAAGACTAGTACAACATAGAAAAAACAAAAAAAGTACATGATGAATCAAGACCTGATAGATCGGGCGGCAAGCCGGCAACCTTCTTCTGAACTCTGAAACAGTCTGCCTGATCAATTGGCGCGTCCTTTACCTTTACTTTCGTACGCTTGTCCACTCTTAGCGCCATCATCCTTGGTCTGCTTGAAGTCGAAGGGGCTGTTCCGCTTGATACCAGCATGTGATAGCAAGGCCCACAGATGAGTGACGAACTCTCCGCCTTTTGCCAGATGTTCAATGTGAGCTTTTACATTGTCTGCTTGAGCCACGTGCAGTAGCATCTCGATCCAGAAGTTGGCTATTGTCTTCCAATATTTGTAACTACTGCTGCTGCTGCTGCCGCCGCCCTCCATGTCTATCAACTGTCGACCTAGTCTGACACCCAACTTAAGGATTCCTAGGTCCGGTGAACCTTGTTTCCGTAACCTTTGATAGGATGGATCATGTTTCCGTAACCTTTGATAGGATGGATCATGTTTCCGTAACCAGGTTGCCATCCTTGTGTACCTCTCACTGGGTGATGTTTGGCCTTCAAGATAGAACTCTGCCTCCGTGATTGCTTCGTCAAAGACAGATGCTGCGATGGTGTGATGCCCGGGAAGCAACTCTGGACGAAACGTCACCAGGTAAGCGCAGTAGCTCGATAACGTTACAGCAACTCTATATTCCGGTAAAGAGAGTAGTCCACATGCACTTGTAGGAAATACCATCTTCTCTTCAGTCTTGGCACAAAACCATGTTGCGATGTGCCATATCAGGATGGTTCGGGCCTCGGTGTCCTGTCTCCACGCCCAAGATAGTTCATCATCTATAGGAAATGTGAACCCACTGTGATCTGCCGCAGCCTTATCAAGAACCCATCTCTTCATTTCGTCAGACAGTGCAACAGGACTACCAAGGCTTCCTCTTTGACGCAGTCCGAGTAGACTTCCCAACAACCTTTCCTTCAGAGAAGTGCGGTGACAATTTTCAATGAGGACATACTGCCCAAGCTCGTTTGGCCATCTACGTTGTTGGGATCCTGCTCTTCTGAACAGAGTGCCGAGGATCCGCAGCAACGGTGATGTGTGCCGTGAATTCTTAGCACGGTCACACATGACGGATACCACAAGCCAATTTGATGTCAGGTAAACAACAAGCTGGCACAGTTCCAGCAGGATAAGAGCATATACCGCATAAACAGAGGCGCCGAGCTCTGGCTTTGCTTTTGCAGCCTCCTCCTCATCATCAGCGGGATAGACCAAACTGAGAATACTGAAAAGGAAGCCAATCTTGGATATGGAGTAGTCGTTGTAAAGCCGGTAGGAAGTGTGAGAAGGTGACCCATGAGTAGAGAAGAAGTAATCGTACAAGAAAGACAGCTCCACCTCAACTATCTTGAAGGCTCTTTTGGTGCTCTTATCTGCTCTCAGGATGTTATTCACGCTTGAAGAAGAGTCGACCACCTCCGCCTGAGACTGAGATGCGCTGTAGCGCTGCAGCAGCTGAAGGAACGAGGAAGAAGATAAGCAGGCGTCCTTCAACTCCGAGGAGTAGTTGAGGTGCAGTATATCTTTGTAGGTTGTGCATCCCGACACGGCAGTCCCACGAGATTCGAGTGAACCCACGGCGACTACAGCTCGGTGGGCAGGAGTGGTCCTCTTGCCCCGGTGTCTCACGGCCTCAGCAGCGACCATGCAGATATCAATGGAAGGGATCATCTCCATGCTTGTAATTTTGAGATGTACCAAGAATACAAACAAACCCAGAGCGAGGGAGTACATCTCCGCGACAGGGCGCCGCCGGCAAGGGACGGAACCTCCTTCTCCTTGCAGTTGCAGCAAGGCAAGAATCAGATAGGCAAGCATCAAGGTCCGCTTGGCAAAGCGCCTCACCTTTTGGCTATCGTCGTCGAGCCTATAGGCTGCCATAGAGTCCGCCTTCCCGGCGGCAAAGAAGATGGCCACCAGCCAGTAAGGGCACCGGAACTTGAGCATCACCCCGACGGCGAAAGCCGCAAGAGGTAGGGGTGCGTAGTAAGCTGACCATGCGCCCCACTGAACCAGCAAGCGGTTTCGCCGGAAGCGCTCGCGGCAGAAGATGAACTGCAACCACTGGAGCACCACGACGGAGGCGGCGAGGATCTCCACTTCTAGCTGCGGATTCTCCGGTTGGCCCCCCCACAGCCTCGTGAAAAGCTGGAGCAGCCACGGAAATACCCAAGAGAATAAGAGCATGACCAGCACCGGAACCACCGAGGAGAGAGGATACAGAAACACTAGGCGGGGTTGCTTCTGGAAGAAGATGGAAGGCAATAGACACCGGATCACCAGGGTGGTCACCATGACCATATCCACCTGCGGATTCTCTGGTTGCTCCCATGGTCGCGTGGAAACTAAAAGGAGCTGAATAATGTCGAAACCGAGCTGGAACAGCCAGAGAAACACGGACAAGACGCAACACAGCAGGAGGATGCGATACATCCATCTCAAAAGCATGGAGAAGAAAGGACACAGCAAGCGGGTGATGATGTCATACTCATACATGGATCTCGTATGCACCTGCCGGGAATCTCCATGGAACCTCTTGAGGCCAGAAGGAGAAGGATGAGAGGCTGGAGCGGGCTCCGGCATGGCCGAGAGACGTACGCGTACTTTTTGTGCCTATCCTCTATGTTCAGGTTCCCCGATCAATGGTCTCAGAGGAGCCTTTTGTACTTGGTGCACCCCGAAAAACTACCTACAATTTAATTGAAGGACGTGTTTGGAGGGGCTCAGGCTCCATCACTATAACGTCACTATAGTGGCACTGTAGAGGAGCCCCAAAATCATGACTCCAGCTCCTCCTCGGTTCACGTTGTTTTGTGGGGGAGTCGAGCCATTTTTTGCTAGCTACAGTGTTGCACAAACACAGTAGCCGCATACAATAGCCGGAGTCCTTGGAGCCAACAAGGCCTAGGAAGTATGACTAAATACTCCCTCCTCCGTTTCAAATTATTTATCACTTTGACTTCTTTGGCACATCAATTTGCTACTCCCTCTGTCCCACAATAGAAGTCGTTATCACTACCGGAAACAGTCGGTTTGCCGTGTGCCACAGGCACTTGGCAAAGCCTAAAAAATACTCGGCAAAGGATTTGCCGAGTGTAACACTCGGCAAATAGCACACGGCATCTACAGTGCCGTCAAATGGCTTTTTGCCAAGTGTTTTCTATCGGGCAATCGGCAAAGATTTTGCCGAGAGCTGAAACCGACGCTTGGTGAAAAAAGTAACGTGACGGAGTGGAGACGGTCACGGCGCGTTTGCCGAGTGTCAAATCTCAGGCACTCGGCAAACTATACTTCTTTGCCGAGTGTCAAAGTTCAGGCACTCGGCAAAGCTTCTTCCTTTGCCGTGTGTCAAAGTTCAGGCACTCGACAAAGCTTCTTCCTTTGTCATGTGTCATGTTCTAGTCACTCGACAAAGCTTCTGCCTTTGTCGTGTGTCATGTTCTAGTCACTCGACAAAGCTTCTGCCTTTGCCGTGTTTCAAAGTTCAGGCACTCGGCAAAGCTTCTCCCTTTGCTGTGTGTCAAGTTCCAGACACTCGGCAAACCTTCGTCCTTTGCCGAGTGTCGAATACCAGGCACTCGGCAAACACGTCCCAAAATGCACAAAATTTTATCTTCTTTGCCGAGTGTCATAGCTCAGACACTCGACAAAGAAGCCATTTTAGTCCCAGAATACACAAAACTGCACCAGGCCCATGTGTAGGCCGGCTTGACAGTTCCGCCGAACTGCACCAGGCCAGGGAACTTTTCCTTGATCAAAAGACCAAGGATGCCATTCACATGGTGTGCGTGATCACCCCCACCGACCTTCCTCCAACCCCTGCCAAAGTGATTAAGATAAATTATTAGTTTCTATTGTAATTTTGAACATATCAAACGATAAATTAGTGATAACATATAAAGTTACTTACTTGTCTCCATCGGGTCGAATCAGCGGGCGTCTCTCAAGAGGTATCGATCGCCTCGGGAGGGTCGAGGGACCTCGCAACCACACACGCAATGAACTTGAGGAAGAGGTACCCCCTGTCTCCTCCTCCACCCCTGCCTCCTCCTCCTCCATCCCCTGCCTCCTCCACCTGTACACAACATCCCAACCCTTAAGACGGTCTATAGTTTGGCACGGGTATGAGAGATAATAAACTTGCGTGGCCTGTTGAGCCACATATAGACATCGTCTCCTGGTAAGACGGATGATTGTTGAATTTCGACTAGCCCAAGATTAGGGGTCCGCCTCACTACTTCAGGATCAAACCAATGGCATTTGAATATAACGGGATTAAGAGGTTTGCAACCATGAAACATGAGTTCGTATATTTCTTCAATTCTTCCGTAATACTCAACCCCATCTAAGCTTTGCGTAAAAACTCTGGTATTTGTGGTTCTTTGATTGGGCCGACTCTGCTCGTGACTTGTTGTGTGAAAGCGATATCCATTCACGTCATAACCGATAAATGACCTGACACTATAGGCACAACCATCGGCAACCTGTCTCAACTCGGCACTCATAGACGCATCGGTTTGTCCCTACAAGTTCAAGCAGGGTAGTTCGTTATATTAGTCGCACGTACGAGCAACTTGTAATGTCAAACTAAGTACGAGCCAAATTGGACAGTACCTTCTGTTTGAACCAAGAAATGAAATGGCATTCCATTTCCCACACCCTCTCTAAGAAGGGTCAAAGTTTCCTGTAGGGTAGGTTCCCTTGATTCACGCCAAAATCGTTCATGAAATTCCCTGTACCAACGAGAAACAAGGGAGTTGGACAAAGAATTGTGACTACTTGAGAAAAAGTTTATTGAGAACTTACAGCATGTACGGCTCCACTTCGGATATGTTGGTCAACACATATAGCATAATAGTGCGCCACTCTTTATGTTTCAAGGTCTTGTTAGTCGCACCACTTGCACTTCCTAGTTGCCATCGGAAAATGCTAAGGTTCGATTCATCTTCGCCAGCATTGTAATGAGGGGGTGGATTATGCACGCCAGGAAGGTTGTCAGTATAGTATTTTGTTGTGAAGTTTGACATCTCCTCCAGAATGTATGCCTCTGCTATGAATGCTTCAATTTTACATTTATTTTTACATTTAGTTCGAAGAACCTTTTAAAATCTCTCAATTGAATAGCATCAATGGCCCTGCACAGGCCCCCCGTTCGTGCCTCATACGTGAGATGCAAAATCAAATGCTGTATCGGATTGAAGAAGCCAGGTGGAAAGATCTTCTCCAACTTGCAGAGCAACACAGGCGTCATTCTTTCCATGTTTGCAACCACGGTACGAGATAACTCCTTAGCACAAAGCTGGTGGAAGAAAATTTTCAACTCCGCCAGCACTATCCAGACATGCTCAGGGACATAACCTCGAACCATCACTGGCAATAGCCGTTCAAGCCATATGTGGTAGTCATGACTCTTGAGCCCCCCATTAATTCACAAAGTAGCTAAGTTCACTCCCCTCTTCAGATTCGCTACATACCCATCAAAGAACGTTAACGTTTGGAACCATTCTAGTACTTCCCTCCTTTGGGCCCTCGTCAGAATGAAATCGGCCTTAGGCTTTCTCCATGAATTCCCACCTCCGGGAGGTGCCATGTCTAGCTTTGGTCTATTGCATAACCTTGCCTAATCCACTCTAGCCTTAACATTATCCTTTGTCTTATCAGGAATGTCCATGATTGTACCAAAAATTATCTCGGCGATATTCTTTTCAGTGTGCATTACATCAATGTTATGTGGAAGTAGAAGGTCATCAAAATAGGGGAGGTTCCACAAGCACAACTTGTGAGTCCATGCATGTTCCTCACCATATCCTAGAAAATGATCTCCTTGGTCATTGACCTCGAGAGCATCTAACTAAGCATGAACCGCAGCACCAATCATCATCTGAGGTGCATGGCATTCAACTACTATATCTTTCGTAAAGTTCTTGATGTCTCGTCTGAATGGATGGTCAAGAGGGAGGAATTGTCGATGTTTGTCGAATGAAGAATACTTACTATCCTTCGTCAACCAAATGAACATCAGAGATGCCTTGCATACTGGGCATGAGAACTTCCCATGAACACACCAGCCGCAGAATATCCCATACGCTGGAAAGTCATGCAGGGAGTACTGGTACCAAACATAGATTTTGAAGTTTGTCTTTGTAGCTTGGTCGTATGTCCATACCCGTTCCTCCCAAGCACGGACCAAATCATCAATCAGAGGCTCCATGTACACACTCATATTATTCCCCGGGTGTTCAGGAATTATCAATGACAAGAATATATTCTATCATTGAAAGAGGATGCCAGGGGGAGATTGAGAGGGATAACGAACATGGGCCAACAAGTGTATGAGGCAGCCTCCATCCCATAAGGATTGAACCCATCTGTTGCCAGTGCAACACGTAAATTACGAGCCTCTAGAGCTTTCTCACGATGAATCATATCAAACCTTGTCCATGCTTCACCATCGGATGGATGCACCAGCTTCTTAGGATTGTATTGACGTCTGTATTTGTGCCATGTCATCTGTTTCGTGGATTCCTCAGTCATATAAAGCCATTGGATCCTCGGTATGAATGGAAGGTACCGTAGGATCTTCACGGGGACGGCGAGCTGCCTCTTCTGACCATCACCAGAGTCTACCTCCAAGAACTTAGACGATTTACACTTCACACAGTACTTTGCTTCCGCATGTTCTTTCCTAAATAAGATGCATCCATTCGGACAAGCATGTATCTGCTCATATGGCATCTTAAGTGCACGAAGGAGTTTCTGTGCCTCATACATGCTCTTTGGCAGGATGTGACCATTCGGGAGTAGGCTACCAACAACTGTCAGCATAACATCGAAGGCTTCTCGACTCAAGCTAAATTGGGACTTTACGGCCATTAGGCGTGCAATGGCATCTAGTTGAAAAAACTTGACATGCCCGTGAAGGGGTTGCTGTGCCGCAGACAACATATCGTAATACGCCTTTGTGGTTGGCTCTGGCTTCTCTTCCCTACATCCATCCTCGAAGTGTGCTTCATGATAGTCATTTAACATGTCTCCTACCCCGGCATTAGCATCATAATCCTCAATGCGTTGTCTCACGACCTCATCTCTCACACGATTGGATTCACCATGGTAGATCCACCGGGTATAGTTCACCGTAAATCCATTCTTGCAAAGATGTTTACCCATGACCACCTTTGTTTGTCGACACGTGTTTGCACAAATGTTGTAGGGACACCAAGTGTTACACGCTCCTTTAACCCTTGCAAATGCTAGTTCCAAGAAAGCATCGGTCTTCTCAATCTATTCATTAGTGAACGAACCCTGACTAGAGCGGCCTGTGTACATCCACTCACGGTCATCCATCCTCTAACATATCAGTAAGTAATATAAAAATCAATTGCATCTATAGGTTCCTATGTGGCGGTCTAATAGGTGAAGATAGGTTCTAATCCCACCCGAGGATGTGTAGATGGGGTTAGTTTCCATGCTCTATTCCTATCCAAGACAGAATTTCGGCAGCACCTCCCCGCTGTTCTCCAAATACATGTTCTGGCAAGGAGATTGTGTATCCGGAGAACAACAGGGAGATGCTGCTGAAACTC